ATAGTTTAATGTTACATGCGGTGTGTGTGATGGTGTGTGTGTGTGTGTGTGTGGTTGGTGTTAATATGGAGCATGGATCAATCGTCACATGGGTGCCCGCTTTGAGCATCGAGGCATGGGCACCTGCCCGCAAACCACGGGCCGTCTTGTACGGGCTGGCAGGTTCCTTCACACAGCTCAGGTTGTTCCCTTAGAGCAACGGTTCTCAACCGAGCTGCACCAGAGTCACCGGGGAGAGCTGTACATCACAGATGGCTGGGCCCCACCGCACGTTCCTCACTCGGGCAAGTCTGCGGGGCAGGGGGCCCGAGCGTGTGATTCATACCGAGGTCCCCGGGGGGCAGGATGCTGCAGGCCCGAACCGCTTGGTGCTCAGCCTGGCTTCAGGGTTACTTGGGGTGGGGTCAAGTGGCAAAGGCTGATAAATTCAGGTGCCACATGGCAGCCACCAGCTTCTAGCAGCCAGCTACGTTGTAATCTCTTGCACGTTACGTGAATTCTTTATGTGTACAGGTCAGAAGTTGTGCCCTCGGAGGATTGCCCCGAGATTAGTGCATGGTGCTGTGCTTTAATTAGAATGACAACGTGATCCACGTGGTGAAGAACTTACCATGGTAGTTATTCACACTTGTGGGACTAACTTCACTCAGAATTCACTTCATACAATTGTGACCCAGAACACATCTGCCTGATAAAATAGATTTATCTGGGAACACAATTTTCTAGAATATTAGATTTTTTTTTTCTTTATTTTGGGGGGGGGGAGAGATAGGATCTGGCTTGGTCACCCAGGCTGGGAGGGCAGTGGGGTCATGGCATAGGCTCACTGCAACCTTGAACTCCTGCCTCGGCCTCCAAGTAGCTTGACACAGGCTGGTGCCGATGACGTCGGGCTAATTTTTCTATGTGTTTGGTAGGAGATGGGAGGTCTCCAGACTCTTGCTTCAGGCTGGTCTCAACATTCTGGCCTCAAGCGATGCTCCCGCCTTGGGCCTCCCGAGGAGTGTCGGGTACAGGCATGAGGCCACTTCACCTGGCCTGAATTTTGGATTTTTAAGAGCACATAAAACAGATTACACCAAATTACTAGATTTTACTACTGGCCTTTTGCAAGTGCAATGGAAATATGTTTTCATAAATGCACCAGTTAAGAACTTTGACATAATTATGGACATAGTAATATTATAAAGGGTGCTATAACTTGGGCTATTTAGTTTTATCACCACAATAAAAACAACCACTGAAATAAAATGATCAAAGTAACTAGTTATACTCAGGGGGTTATTTCATGTGCACATTTAATGTGGGAGCCACAGGTGGCTGGAGCGGGAACTAAGATCTAAAACCTGTGATCAAAACACTGTGCTTGGAGCTGGGCTTGGGCAGGCATGGGCGGGGCCGGTGGAAGAGACTCAGGATGGGGGGGGGCTCGGGTTGCACCTGCCACGCCACGGCGGGGTATCGTGCTAGCGCAGGACGGAGAGCCAGCCTGGAGTTCGTTCGTCACAACCCCGGACGCCCGGTGCCACTTCAGAGTTTGGTTCCTGCATCGAGGGAACCCGATTATAGCGTCGCCCCCAAGTGATGCTCCAGAAGGACCACTCAGAAGTGAAGAAAATCATTCACGTCCTGTAACTGTCACAAAGATACAGCGCGGGCTGCGGGTTCAGGGAGCCAGGTGCGGGCGTGGGTGTGCCGCTGCCCAGCCCCGGGGAGGCCTCGGGGCGGTCGCTACCAGTACCCACCTGACATATTCATACAGCTCAATTTATTAAAAAAAATTAAAATATTTTATGTCAACGTTCTCGAAGTATATAGACAATAAAATGTACCCATTTTTAAGTGAACAGTACAATGAGCTTTGACAAATGTATGTGACCATGTGACCAGCCCCACAATCAACACGTGGATTTCCATCACCCTGGAAAGGTTTCCAGGCCCATTTGTGGTCGCTTCCCTCCCACTGCCAGCCCCGAGCAGCCACCGTTCTCTTTCCATCATCAGAGATCAGATTTGTCTCTTTGGAAGGCGCACATAGACAGAATTGCCCAGTGCCTTCTCCTTGCTTCTGGCTTCTTTATCTCAGCACAGTGTTCTCATCTGTATAGTTGAGTATCTTTTTTTTTTTTTGACACAGAGTCTCTGTTGCCCAGGCTAGAGTGCTGTGGCATCAGCCTAGCTCACAGCAACCTCAAACTCCTGGGCTGAAGCGATCCTCCTGCCTCAGCCTCCTGAGTAGCTGGGACTACAGGCATGCCCACTGTGCCCGCTAATTTTTTATATTATAGTTTTTATGTTGTCCAGCGAATTTATTTCTATTTTCAGTAGAGACGGGGTCTTGCTCTTGCTCAGGCTGGTCTCGAACTCCTGAGCTCAAACGATCCACCCACCTCGGCCTCCTGGAGTGCTAGGATTACAGGTGTGAGCCATTGTGCCTGGCCAGTTGCATATTTTTATAGTGTTGATTTCTCTTTTGTCAATTTTAGAAACTGATTGTATATGTGGGATTAAATGTGTTGTGGATGTAACCACCATAAAATGACATTATTTCTATTATTGAATTGTACATGAATATAGCATTGTTGTTGTTGTTGTTGTTGTTGTTGATCTGCTCTCATGTTGATGGACATTTGGGTTGTTTCCAGTTTTTGATAACTTTGAATAAAGTATGGATTGAAGTTTATTTTTCTCCATATGGATATTCAACTTTTCCAGCACGGTTTGTTAAAAACACTATCGTTTCTCCAGTGGGTCACCTCGCACGTTTGTAAAAACCTGTTTTCCTTATGTGTGGGTAATGTCTGGACTAGCTGTTTTGTTCCATTAATCTGTGCCTCTTTGTGGGTGCCAGCAAACCTTGTTGATTACTGCAGTTTCCTAACAAGTTGTGAAGCCAAGGAGTATGAGTCCTTCAATTTTGTTCTTCTGTTTCAAAGTCGTGTGGCTGTTCTAGGTCCTTTGCATTTCTATATGAGTCTCAGAAGTAGCTTGCTGATTTCCGTTGGCAATTTGACTGGGATTACGTTGAATCTATGGAACAATTTGGAGAAACATGGCATTTTACTAGTATTGAGTATTACAATCCATGAACATGGCAGATTTATTCATTTAGTTGGGTCATCTTTAATTCCTCTAAGCACAGTTTTACAGTTGCAGTGAATAGGTCTTACATGTTTCTGTCACATTTATCCCTAAGTATTTCATGTTTTTAATGCTAGTATAAGTGATATTATTTTTAATTTTAATTGCTAATTGTTCATTGCTAATACAATTGATTTTTGATTATTGATATTGTATTCTACAATCTTGCTAAATTCATTAATTCTGAGGTTTTTTTGTAGATCTCATCAGGTTTTCCTCACAGGTGATTGTTTCATCTATGAATGGAGACAGTCTTACTACTTTCTTTCTAATCCGAATGCTATTTCTTTTTCTTGCCTTATTGCATGGGTTAGAACCTCCAAGACAATGTTGGGTGTTTTCCCCTATCTCCTGGGAGAGCATCAGTCTTTCACCCTTAGGTATCGTGATAGCTGTTGTTTTTCGTAGATGCCCTTTCTCCAATTGAAGACATTCCCTTCTCTTCCTAGTTTGCTAAGAGTTTTTATCAGGTAAAAATGTCGGATTTTATAAAAGAAAAATTCTGCGTCTATTGAGACGATCAGTTTTTCTTTATTAGTTGTTAACATGGTGAATTACATGGTTTTATTTTCAAATGTTAAACCGTCTTTGCATTTTTTGTGATAAACTTTACTTGGTAAGGATGTGTCACCATTTTTACATATCAGTTAGATTTGATTGCTAAATTTTGTTAGCTTTTGTATCCGTTTTATGAGGAATAGTTATCTGTAGTTTCCTGTTTTTGAAATGTCTTTTGTCTAGTTGTTATCGAGGTAAGCCTGGCCTCCATAGAAACCAGCTGGTAAACAGTTCTCTTCTCTTCAATTTCCTGAGAAAGGTTTGTGTTTAGAATAGTATTATTTCATTCCTAATGTTTGGCAGAGTTTGGTTAGTGGATGTTATTTGACCCCTGTAATTCTTGTGTGGGGGAAGTTTTGACTACAAATTCAATTCTGTTAATAGATATAAAGCTATTCGGATTACATTTTTAGATTGAGCTTTGGCAGTTTGTAGATAAGAAATAGAAAATCTATTTCATTGAAGTTTTTGAATTTGTTTGCATTAAAATTGCTCATCATGTTGCCCTTATTATTATTTTAATGTCTGTTTAATTCAGTAATGATGCTGTTTCTCTCCCAATCCTGATACTGGTAATTTGGGCGTCGTCTATTTTTCTATGATTAGTTTGGTTGGAGCTTTATTACTTTTCCTGATTTTCTTAATGGACCCAGCTTTTGGTTTCATTGATTCTCTATTATTTTCCTTTTTTTCTATTTCATTGATTTGTGCTCCGATCTTCTGATTCCTTTCTTTTGCATGTGTTGGGTTCAATTTGCTTTAATATTTCTAGTTTTTAAGGTGGAAACTACAAGGTCATAGATTTTTAGACCCTTTCTTTTCCTAGTAATGGCATTTAATGCACAATGAATTTCTCTCTAAGTTCTGCTTTAATGTGCCTCCTCTGTATGGTATTTGCTGTTTTTTCTCTCCTGCTTTATAATTTATTTTTATTGCTTTTTTTTAGCAATTGGATGATAAATTTTCATTATGTATTCATTGTACCTCTGTGCTTGGGGGTTTGTTGAGATTCTTCATAGTTTTAATCGCATTTTGGAAAAATTTTGACCATTGCCTCTTTCAATCTTCTTTTGTCTCTCACCTCTCCTTTCAGAAACTCCAATTATTTGTGTGTTAGGCTGCTTGGTGTTCTTTTATTACCACACACACACACACACACACACACACACACACACACACACAGACATGCACACATGGCACACCTGTTTGGGCCGATTCTGGCGTCTTTGCATTCACACCCTTAGCTCCCTGCTTCTGAAGTATGCGGCTGCTTCCTCTTTAATTTCATGGCCTTGGAAGATTAAACTTAATCCCTGTTGGGCTGTGCTCTCCCCTCTCTCCCAGTGTTCTTCTTGGGCTTTCTTATTATCCCTAGAAGTTTGTTTCAGAATCCATCTATCCCTCCCTAAACCTTTTCCCGACTTCACCTGAGTCGCGATCGGGTTTGCGGCATAACGGGAGAGCGCGTCTCCGTGGGCTGACTACTGATGAATCCAGGCGCCCGTCCTGCCCCCCCTGCCCGCGGTGTCTCGAGGTTCTCCTGGGAGGCTTGCCAGGGGACTCCCAGCTTTTCCTGTCCCGTGGCCATTGTAAATGCGCTGTTTTCTGTCCTTGAGTCTCCTAATGATGTTGTGTGAGTGAAAGCGCTTTGATGTTTGGATTTTAAAACTTGTGCTCAGACACTTGGCCGAATTCTTTTCCCGTGGCACCACAGCATTAATATTCCAGTGATTTTCTGGGGCTCCTGGTGCGTGGTCCTGGCGCCTGCAGGTACTGACCACTGGCTTCCGACGGGTGGGCTGGAGGAGACCAGGCTTTGACTTCGGGCGGGCGGGATGGCCACTGTCACCCCACCCCCACCTACCTCTCCCGGGCTACTTTGAGGCTGGAAGGAGTTGGGAGGGGAGCAGTGGACCTGGTTGCAGGACCTTCCCTGAGGAATTCCCGGCGCAAAGTGTGGCTCCGAATGGAGACCCCCCAGCCAGGCCTCTGGTCCTGAGGACTCGCTCCCTGGGAGTGCCAGGTGGTGACCTGGACTCCCTGACAGGCAGCTGGGCAAGGCACCCAGGCCTCTGCCGTCCAGGGGCTGCAGGGCAGTGGGCTGTGTGAGGACTTGGGGACTGTGAGGGCAGCTGCTTCTTGAGCCCCCGAGCCTTCGCTGGGACACCTGGAAATGCGTGTGGGGTGAGAAGACAGGAGTTTGGGGCGGCTCAGCCAACCCCGATGTTTGTAGGATCCTGCTCTTCCCAAGGCAGGAAGCAGGGGCACGTTTGGGTTCCCGCGTCCTTCTTTACTCCTTACAAAACCTGTCCTCGGTGAGTCAGAGTTTCTAGGCATAATGTTTGAAAATAAAGTGGCACACATGCGCACACGCACAGATACACACCACGCGCACACACACACATGCACACACGTGCATGGCAGGGCAGGGGAGGCAGGTGCAAGCTGATGGTGCCCAGGTCTGCCTACTGAGGCTGCACGACACGCCTCCTACCCAGCCCCCGCAGGTGTGCACCGTTTAGTGTTCACACCCATGGGCTTTACATGCTGTGCTGGTTGCCTGCCGTAGCAGAACACACAGACTGGGGGTTTAAACAACAGACGCTTATTGTCTCACAGTCTAGAGGATGGAAGTTGAGATCAAGGTGCCCCGGGCCGGTTTCTTCTTGGCTTGCAGATGGCGTTCCTCCCTGTGTCTTCGGTGGTCGTCCCTCTGTGCGTGTCTGTGTCCCCATCTCCTCTTCTTACAAGGACAACAGTCAGATTGGATCAGGGTCCACCCTGGTGGCCTCATTTTAACTTAATTACCTCTGCAAAGACTTTGTCTCCCAAATACAGGCACATTCCCAGGTAACGGGGCTAGGTCTCCAACAGATCTTTTGAGGACACAATTGAGCCCTTAACAGGGGGTCTCTCCAGGTACCACGGGCAATGCAGCCCTGAGTTCCTCCCTAGCTGCGCCCGGGACCACGGATGCCTCCGGCTTTTTGGCTGTCCGCTTGATACCAGGATAGTTTCATTTTCATCCCACCTCTGATCTCTGCAGAATCATTGATTGGCAGAATTTTTGGGAAGAGTAGACACAACTCAAGCCATAACATGTAACGATATGAATCGTATCAAAAGTCTAAAATCCAGTCTAAATAGGGCTTGCTTTGGGGGAAATACAATCTCTCCCTTCTCGATGAGCAGAGCACAGTGTTTGCCTGGGTTCGGTGGGGTGGCTGGGTGGCCGGGCCTGTCCCTAAGCTCCTCCCCATCACCGGCTGCAGCCCTGAGACAGGCTTAGTGTTGGCGCCTGCACTGCCCAGTCCACGGCCCCTCCCGCCGCCCCCCTCCCCACCGGCCCCTGTTTTGAAGAGCCACACAATGGCGTGGGACATCAGGCGGCAAGGCTTTAGCCTCGGGGGGGGGACGCACCCACAGATATGGTGGGCGGGGCGTGGGCAGACGCCTTGCTGACGGGACATCCACTTTCCAGCAGAAGTCAGCAGGGGTCGGCTCCGCTTAGAACACCGAGGACTGGCCCAGCACGAGAGGAAGGAAGAAGGTGACCAGGAGTCTTTTCTTTTCTTTATTTTATTCACCCAATAATGATAAATGTCCGCAGGGCATGTCTGCCTCTGCCCGTCTCCAGCAGCGTGGCCCCAGGGCTGGGTCCCACGGCGATGGCCCATTCTGGAGGCTAAGAAAGGCAGAACCGGGGTCTCTGCCCTCACAGCGTGTGTGGGGTCCAGTTAGAGCCAGGGTCACAGCTGCGGCAGCTGCAGGCTTCTCCGTGTCTGGGCACAGGAGGATGGTGTCACCAGCGAAGTACAACAAGGACAGACAAATTGCCTTTCTCTCAGGAGATGGCCCCTGAGGGACACGCTGAGGACGTGTTCGCTGGGTCTGGCCCGGGTGTGTTCTGTGTGACGGGGGCTGGTTCTGTCTCTGCTCGGGTGTTGGACGTGCTCACGCGTGTTCCGTGCCCGGCTTGCCCGGGAGCCGCAGGCGGCCGCAGGTGCAGAGCTGGGCCTCCCCCGGGCTCTGTATCTGCTCCAGTACGTAGAGGGCCGGGCACGGATCAGCCGTGTCCCAAACCGCAAAGGGAAAGGACATCCGAATGGGAATGGGGGCGGGAAAGAGGAGAGGCGGGGTGGGGGTTTCCATTGCACCGTGTGGGATGTCGCCGCAGCGCCGGGCGCCTGCCTGGGCTGTGGGAACAGGTGCCACCTGTGGGGTGCGGGCGGGAGACACACTGGGGGGACCCCACCCACCACTGGGCCACCTTCCTGAAGTCAGAGCCACCATCGTGTTTATACTGTTGCAGGCGGACGCCACTTTGCTGGTGGCCCTTCTGATTCCCCGTTACGTCAGGGGAACTCCCTCCTCCTGTCTGCAAAGTCCCCTTTCCAGCCCATCTTGATCAGAAGTGAGTAAAGGGGAGCCAAAGGAAGACCTGCACCAGGAGGTGCATCAGACCCTAACGCCTGGGAGGACAGGGGTGGCAGCTAAGGAATGACCCCCGGAGGAGTCCACATCCTAGTCCCCGGGACTGTGACCATGGGACCTTACCTGGAGAAAGGGACTGTGTGGGTGCAGTGAGGCTGAGGACCCAGAGGTAGCCATGACCTGGATAACTGGGCGGGCCCTCGGGGGTCATGGGGGCCCTGGGAGGGGGTGGCCCAAGGCAGGTGACAATGACAGCGGGTACAGAGGTCAGAGAGAGCTTGGAGGACGCTGCTCTGCTGTCCTGGAGGGCTGGGGTGGGGCATGAGACGAGGGACTCAGGTGGCCTCTGAAAGGTGGAAATGGTGGGGACGGGATCCTCCCCCAGAGCCGCCAGGAGGGACCCAGGTCGGCAGCTGAGCCCTGACCTCCAGAGCCGCGGGAGACGGAGTCAAAAAACCTGCGCTGCTTCCAGCGACCACGAGGTTGTGGTGGTTTGCTGGGGCTGCGACAGGAAGCCGGCACCCGGGTGTCCACACCGAGGAGCAGCTCCCAGGGCTGGTCTGGCGGGTGCTTTTCCTGCCCATTTCCTTGAATGTCACACCGCGTCTGGCCCGTGTGGACACAGCTAAAGAGCGATTGAAACAGGAGCAGGAAAGGTGACAGGGAACCTGACTGACACGAACATGTAAAATAATAAACAGTGTGTGTGTGTGTGTGGTGGGGGGTGAGTCTCTAACTCCTGGAAGTTAGAGCCCCAGGTGTCATTTCCCCGCCAGCCATGCCACCTGTCCGTCCTGTATCGGCGCAGGTAAGCGCACCTGCCGGGGGTGGCGCCCCACCCAGCCCCCGCCCCGGGCCCCCAGGCCCAGCTTGACGACAGCAACACAGGCGGCAAACAAGCACCCCCAAATACGAAAGTGCGTCTCGTGCTTCTGCAAGTCACACCAGGTGAGACGGAGACACCTCGGGAGGCGCGGCGCGGGCCCGGCTGAGCCGCCTCAGCTCTCAGTTGCCGAGGAGCCAGCTCCTCCAGCTAAACGCGGGGTTGCAGCCGTGAGTCAGGGTCTTCACCGGCGGGTTGGCCAGCTCCCATTTCCCTTCCTCCCTGTTTTCTTCACAGAAGCACATGCCCAGGGAAGGGATCTGGAAGGGAGTTTGAAATCACTTATTAATATTTTATAGCTGTCAGCCGGCTTCAGACGGGTCCCAAAGCCGGCCGCGGGCTGCGGTCCCTTCCCTCCTTAGAGCGCTCACGCCTCGCCGCACGGCGCGCTTCGCCACCAGAGCCGGAGGAATTATAATCTGAGCTGACTCTGAAAACAGCCTCTGGCAGCAAATGACCACGGTGGCGAGGGCGGCAGCCCGTCCGTCAGCGCCGGCCCGAGGCTGCCCCTTGCACGCGAGCAGGTGTGTCGGGTCTCCGGGCGTGCGGGCCGCGGCGGCCTGGGCTGGCGGGCCCCGAGAAGGGAGCGTGCTAACCCTGCGTCTTCGGGGTGCTTGACCTTGTGCCCCAAAGGGACGGGAGCGGCCACGTACCTTTCTCACTAACTGGGCAAAGTCCCCGCAGTCCCGCGGCGGCAGCCCCAGGAGCGGCCGCGTGCAGGAGTCCAGCGCCGAGCCGTGGCTCACGAGCAGGATGACGCCCGCTGCAGGACGGAAGAGCACTGAAGGTCAGGGCAGGCAGGGAGGTGCCTTTTACTAGCCCGAGATCCCCCAAGTTGTCGGGGTAGGGCTAGTCTGCAGTGTCCCAAGGCCGTGAGAGAGCGGGATCAGGTGTGGTTGGCTGAGCTCCCACCTGTGCACCGTCCCCGAGCTCATCGCCTCTCCGTGCAGGGCCCAGGGTGCCAGCAGCTGTCTGCCAGCCCCGGGGATGGTGCAGGAAGTGACCCGAGCCACGACCCTCTGAGGCTGGCTGCCTGGGCACCATCGAACACAGATAGGACAGCGGCTAATTGCAGTGGCGGCTGCCGCACAGGCCTGATCCGATGTGCCTTGGAATTATCCGCGGGTATCACAGCGAGCCTGCACGACCCCGACCTTAGATCAGAGCTCAGGAACGTCCAGAGTCGGGGCTGAGTGAGTCTCCCCCAGGTGACACGCCACGCCCAGCCAGCTCCAAGGACGAGGTGGGAGACGACACCTCCGTGTAGCTCCATCCAGGACAAAGCCAGGGCTAGGGGACCCAGAGAGTCAGGAGGGGCCTGTGGCCAGACCCACCGGTGCTGCCTGGAAGTTCTGTCCCTCTGTCCTTTCTTAGTCCCCTTTGTCTCCTGGGAAGCCGACCTGAGTCGTGAGGACACTGGTGGCTTGTGTTGACCCTACAGCCCCGGGCCCATCTGCACTCAGCCCCGGAGCGGGGTCCCGGGTCTGGCGCGTGGAGAAGGTGTGTTTGTGGCCGTGTACTGCGGCAGCGGACGCCAGACCGTACTTTGTTGCTGGGAAACGGGGGTGGGTGTTTGGGGTCATGGATAGGTTCAGAAATCGGCCAATCTCCGTCCCAGAGGCAAGACCTGGAGCCCTGGGGCTGTTCCTGCCCGAGGGAGGCGAGGACTTACTGTCCTGTGGGCAGGTGTCCACGATGCGGCTCATGCTTGCTGTGCACCTGTCCACGTACTCGCCGTAGCTCTCGGCCGGCAGGAGGCAGGAGAGGGGAAACGCGGGCCTGCGGGGACAGAGGGCGGCTGCAGCCCTGGCCCGTGGCAGGGTCAGGGTTGCGCGGTGCGGTTGGTGGGGAAGGAGAAGGCTCTTCCAAGAGGGCTCGGCCTCCAGGCAGGGCCGAGGTCCACAGGAGGCTCCAGTTTTGTGCTCAAAATGGACAAGAGGCTGACGTCCCATCCCAGCACGTGTTCCCACTGAACACGGGAACATTCCGTGATGTTCCACCCCACACGTGTTCACACTAAACACGGGAACATTCTGTGATGTTCCATCCCAGCACGTGTTCCCACTGAACACGGGAACATTCTGTGACAGTCCATCCCCAGCACGTGTTCCCACTGAACACGGGAACGTTGTGTGACAGTCCATCCCCAGCACGTGTTCCCACTGAACACAGGAACGTTCTGTGACAGCAGAGCCAGATGTGGGGTGAGAAGGACAAAGGCTATCCCTCTGGACCCTCCTCTCGACCAGGCCCTGACCTGCGGGCCCCGGCGTCTGTCCTTGCGGAGTCAGTGTTAGCAAGAACCCTGCTCCGCTCCATATCTGAGCTGGATCCTCCACCACCGCAGGTCACGTCTGATCACCCTGCCTGCCTGCAGCAAGACTCGGGGGGACGGCAACTTGGCAAGAACTACCCCACCCTCTCTGTAATCTTCGATCCACTGCCCCGTCCCTGCTCCGTGACTGCAAGTCCCCACTTTCCCTGTCTGTGGAATGGAGCCCAGCCTCCCTGCTGCGGAGCCCACTGCAGTGTCTTCCTTACCCTGCTCAGCATCTCGGAAAATTCTTCCCTAACAAGAACTCGAGGCGCCCCGAGAGCTTCAGGAGGGCTCACCTGTAATCAGTGTCCACGGGGAAGTTCGCCTCTTTCAGCTCTTCCGGGCTCATGAGGGCTGGGGTGGTCTTGCCCGCCTCCCATTTGGTCCACTCAAAGATTCCGGGCTCCACTCTTATCTTAATTTTCTTCTCCAGTTTGAGTTCTGAGTTCAACAGAATGCAAGCATTTGTCATCTTTAACATCCACTTGGCGTCCTGCAAATAAGTCTCCTCCTAGATCTTAGCATCTTACCCATGGATGCAAATAATGTCTTTCAAAACTCTGTTACTTCTTTTTCCTTGGCAAATATGGTTCTGTGATTAAGCACAGTCTTGCTATTTCTGAGGCTAAACCTGCCAGGCAGTTGGAAGGGGTCAGGGGAGTGATGAATGAGCCTGTGTCCGCCAGGAGGGGACCGAGTCTGGGAGCTGGCGAGGGTCCCGGCAGCAGGACCCCCTTGAGGCAGCTAAACCAACACCACAGCACAGCGCTGGCCAAGGAGGAGCCCGCCCGTGAGCAGGTGCCAGTGACAGCCTTGGGAAGCACATTCCCCGGGAACGCGTATGCCAGACTGGGCAAGAAGTAAAGGGTGGAAGGGAACGGTCTCCTGGATCATTCAGGCTCCTCACAACTCAGCCTTCCTGAGCATTTTATATCTTGGCTATAAGAAGACCTATAAAGCAAGGTCATCTCATTTTGATCAGGGGGAAAAAAAAAGACTTTAGTGTTTTTATTTGAAATGGAGAAAATGTCATTAAACTCAAATACTGGATGTAAAGTCAACTCCCCGGATGTGCGTAAGCCCACGGCATGAACTCCTCCGTCAGCAGGCTTAGGAAAGAGAGAGTCACGCTGGGTTCACCAGGCCCCCAGCTCTCCCCACGCCTGCCCAGGCCCACGTCCACTGTGAACACAGCAGATGAACAAACGGTCTGACAGCCTCCTGGTGGGTGGCCACGGACCTCTTTCTTTGAAGGACACCCTGCAGGCCACTGTTCTGTGGCCACACTGGGGGAAGTGGCCATGGGCTGGTGCTGGGTTTAAATAGAGTCCAGCACGTCGGCATCGCACATGTCGGCCTGAGCAGCAGGTGGACCGAGTCTGAGGCCTCGTGAAGAAGACCGCGTGTCCTCGTCTTCCTGAATTAACACGGGATTTACAAAGGGGCCCTCTAAACAGGCATCGTGACAACATCCGCACGTGGGGTAAAAGACAATGAGAGATCACGTTGAAGACACTGACACTGTCGTCGTCAGAAAACGTTTTTTGAGAGCTTTTGTTTTACGTGCGAGAGGCCGAAGTAATGAAAGTCAGAAAAAGATCCCCTCAAAAATTGGGATCACGGAAAACGCTTCTGAAGTTCTCGGTCATATTCTTTTATGGTGAAGGCTGGCCGAAAGAATAGCTTAAATTTTATTTGCGTGTATTTATCTATTATTCTTTTATTCACACGCTGTGATTATGGTGGGAGAGTTTGTGTAGGGAAAGGAAGATCGAGGCCATCGCTTGGAAGAATCCCTCCCAATTCGGGGCAATGAAGGCCCCGGCGGGAGGAGATGGCCGTGGCTGGCCGGCTGGACACAGGTGGTCTGCGACCGGTCGCCCCGCTCGCTAGTGGGCAGCCAGGCAGAGGCGGAAGCTGAAAGGGCGGGAAGGCTGGTGGGAGAGGGGCGGCATCCTGTGTGGCTCAGAACAAAACGCTCTCATTAAATGGGGGTGTCGAGGGCTGGGCGTGGGGGGAGGAGATGGGAACCGAGGCATGGGCGCCTGTCACATTTTATCATACTTCTGCATGTGCTTCTTGCTTTGTCCACACTTTGTTAGTATAGTCGTTGGATGAATTATAAATATATTGATCCTGAACGATCCGGGGATAAAGCTACTGTGGATACGTATCTATTTTGCTTTTGCCCAGCACGGCTAATAAGAGCTGTCTGTCCTCAAACCCAAGTGCGGCCGGGAGGTCATCGGAGGCCGGGGAGCCCACCCCTGCACCGCCCCGTCCTGCTGCCCTCGCCCCCGGGAAAGGCAGAGCTGGCGCGGACGCCGCTCATGCCTCACTCCTTCCGGAACAGGGGAGGGCGTGGGGTTTGAAAAAAAAATAACAGGCACGGATCACAGCAACCCTCAAACTCCTGGGCTGAAGCTGATCCTCCTGCCTCAGCCTCCTGAGTAGCTGGGACTATAGGCATGCCCCACCGTGCCCGGCTAATTTTTATATATATATATTTTTAGTTGTCCAGCGAATTTATTTCTATTTTCAGTAGAGACGGGGTCTTGCTCTTGCTCAGGCTGGTCTCGAACTCCTGAGCTCAAACGATCCACCCACCTCGGCCTCCTGGAGTGCTAGGATTACAGGCGTGAGCCATGTGGCCTGGCCAGTTGCATATATTTATTTGTTCCTTTTACTGCTGAGTAAGTAGTAGTTTGTGGATATATATATATATATATTTTGTTGTTTGTTGTTGTTGTTGTTGATCTGCTCTCATGTTGATGGACATTTGGGTTGTTTCCAGTTTTTGATAACTTTGAATAAAGTATGGATTGAAGTTATTTTTTCTCCGTATGGATATTCAACTTTTCCAGCACGGTTTGTTAAAAACACTATCGTTTCTCCAGTGGGTCACCTCTACGTTGTGAAAACCTGTTTCCTTATGTGTGGGTAATGTCTGGACTAGCTGTTTTGTCCATTAATCTGTGCCTCCTTTTGGGTGCCAGCAAACCTTGTTGATTACTGCAGTTTCCTAACAAGTTGTGAAGCCAAGGAGTATGAGTCCTTCAATTTTGTTCTTCTGTTTCAAAGTCGTGGGCTGTTCTAGGTCCTTTGCATTTCTATATGAGTCTCCAGAAGTAGCTTGCTGATTTCCGTTGGCAATTTGACTGGGATTACGTTGAACTATGGAACAATTTGGAGAAACATGGCATTTTACTAGTATTGAGTATTACAATCCATGAACATGGCAGATTTATTCATTTAGTTGGGTCATCTTAATTCCTCTAAGCACAGTTTTACAGTTGCAGTGAATAGGTCTTACATGTTTCTGTCACATTTATCCCTAAGTATTTCATGTTTTTAATGCTAGTATAAGTGATATTATTTTTAATTTTAATTGCTAATTGTTCATTGGCTAATACAATTGATTTTTGATTATTGATATTGTATTCTACAATCTTGCTAAATTCATTAATTCTGAGGTTTTTTTTGTAGATCTCATCAGGTTTCCCTCATAGGTGATTGTTTCATCTATGAATGGAGACAGTCTTACTACTTTCTTTCTAATCCGAATGCTATTTCTTTTCTTGCCTTATTGCATGGGTTAGAACCTCCAAGACAATGTTGGGTGTTTTCCCTATCTCTCTGGGAGAGCATCAGTCTTTCACCGTTAGGTATCGTGATACTATTGTTTTTGGTGATGCCCTTTCTCCAATTGAAGACATTCCCTTCTCTTCCTAGTTTGCTAAGAGTTTTTATCAGGTAAAAATGTCAGATTTTATAAAAGAAAATTCTGCGTCTATTGAGACGACCAGTTTTTCTTTATTAGTTGTTAACATGGTGAATTACATGGTTTTATTTTCAAATGTTAAACCGTCTTTGCATTTTTTGTGATAAACTTTACTTGGTAAGGATGTGTCACCATTTTTACATATCATTAGATTTGATTTGCTAAAATTTTGTTAGTTTTTGTATCTGTGTTTATGAGGAATAGTTATCTGTAGTTTCCTGTTTTTGAAATGTCTTTGTCTAGTTCTGTTATCGAGGTAATGCTGGCCTCCATAGAACCAGCTGGTAAAAGTTCTCTTCTCTTCAATTTCCTGGAAAGGTTTGTTTAGAATTAGTATTATTTCTTCCTTAATTGTTTGGCAGAGTTTGGTAGTGATGTTATTTGACC